TTCTTCTTCTTCTTCTTCTTCTTCTTCTTCTTCTTCTTCTTCTTCTTCTTCTTCTTCTTCTTCTTCTTCTTCCTTGTCCTCCTCCTCCTCCTCCTCTTCCTCCTCCTCCTCCTCCTCCTCCTTCTCCTTCTTCTTCTTCTTCTTCTTCTTCTTCTTCTTCTTCTTCTTCTTCTTTTTCTTCTTCCTTGTCCTCCTCCTCTTCCTCCTCCTCCTCCTCCTCTTCCTCCTCCTCCTCCTTCTTCTTCTTCCCCAACTTGACACAAGTTAGATTCATTTAGGGAGAGTGAACCTCAACTGAGAAAATGCCCCAACAGATTGGCCTATGGACAAACCTGAGGGGCATTTTATTGACTATTGATGTAGGTGGGCCTAGTTCTCTGTAGGTGGTCCCACCCCTGAGCCCATAGTCCTGAGTCCCAAGAAAGCAGGTTGGGCAAGCCATAGGGAGCAAGTCAGTAAGCAGTGTTTTTCCATGGTCTCTGCTTTAGTTCCTGCCTCCAGGTGCCTGCCTTGGCTTCCGTTGATGGTGGACTGTAGCCTGTAAGCCAAACAAACCTCTTCCTCCCCAAGTTGCTTTTGGTCAAGTTTTGATCAAAGCCACAAAACTCTAATTAATATAGGTGATGAAAAGTGAGTTGTGGGGCTGGAGAAATGCTCACTGGCTAAAAGCACTTGTTCTTTCCCAAGGACCCAGGTTCAGTACCTGGCACCCACAAGGGAACTCGAGTACCAGGAGATCTGGTGCCCCTCTGGCCTCTGTGAGCAGCACACATGCAGGTGGCACACATGTACACACATGTAGGTAAAAACTCATATATATACATAAAACAAAACAAAAACATTCTAAAACAGGGAAAGAGAGAGAAAAAGAGGCGTGGGGAGAAGAAAGGCCCTCTCCCCCTTGGGGCTGTGCAAGTGAGTTAAAGAAATGGCTGGGACCCAGGCTGTGAAGTGTCGGTGCTAAGTAGCTACGGATCTAGGTATGTCAGCGTCTCTCCTGATATGTGCATTGCCACAGTAGGTGGTGACTTTGGGCCTTTCTTGCAACAAGGTTTGTGGCAGCCTCTCTCCATGGACTTGGCTCAGCACAGAAAATGAGACTTTTGACTTTTGTCATTCCTGTACCAACTAACTAAGAAACATCTATAGGGAAGGAAGTGTCTTTTCTCTTCTTTGCTATTTTCCTGGTAAATAATTGGTGCTCAATGGTGTTTATTGGCCGGCTGACACATGAATCAGTACCAGCCTGCAAGGCTTCCATGCACGTTTCTCCAGCAGACTCTAAGCAAATCTCTCTCTTTCTTCCCTGCAGCCCACCCTGAGGATGTTGGCACCAGCCTCTACTTTGTAAATGACTCCCTGCAGCAGGTAACCTTCTCCAGCTCTGTGGGTGTGGTGGTGCCCTGCCCGGCTGCCGGCTCCCCCAGCGCGGCTCTTCGATGGTACCTGGCCACGGGGGACGACATCTACGATGTGCCGCATATCCGGCACGTGCATGCCAACGGGACTCTGCAGCTCTACCCCTTCTCCCCCTCCGCCTTCAATAGCTTTATACACGACAATGACTATTTCTGCACTGCGGAGAATGCAGCCGGCAAGATCCGGAGCCCTAATATTCGCATCAAAGCAGGTGAGGGACCAGACACCTGCACCTTGATGGGGGCTCCCTGTGAGGTCTGCACACAAATGGGGAAGGCAGGCTGGCATTGTGTGGGTATACATGTGGTGTGCACATGAGAGCTTGGAAGAAACATTTGCCTAGGGTCAGCTTGGCCGTCTACTGTGGTGCTTGGGTACATTCAAAGTGAGTATCTACCTACCGTGCACAGCACTGCCCATGAGTTAAATGACAGAGTGCACATTACTTGAAGCAGGAAACTTGCTTGAGCTTCATTTTCTAAAACCTCCTGTACTGGCTGATTTTGTGTGTCAACTTGACACAAGCTGGAGTCATCAGAGCGGAAGGCACCTCAGCTGAGGAAATGCCTCCCTGAGATCCAGCTGTAATGCATTTTCTCAATTAGTGATCAACTGGGGGAGAGCCCAGCCCGTTGCGGGTGGTGCCATCCCTGGCTTGGTGATCCTGGGTTCTATAAGAAAGCAGGCTGAACAAGCCATGGGAAGCAGGCCAGTAAGCAACACCCCTCCATGGCCTCTGCATCAGCTCCTGTCGCCAGGAACCTGTCCTGTTTGAGTTCCTGTCCTGACTCCCTTTCCTCCCCAGTTTGTTTTTGGTCGTGGTGTTTTGCTGCAGCAATAGAAGCCCTAAGACACCTCCTCTTCCTGAACTGTATCAAGGAAAGTGTGTGCTATCCGATGTAACTGAAGCAGTTTCCCGAAGGTTCAGCTAACACCCAGCACAGGGCTACACCCACAGCACCTCGGAGGTCCCCTCTTGCTCTCTCTGGTCTCTGTTCTCCTCAGGACAGTCACTCTCCTGAGCTGGAATAATTTGGGTGTTTTACTTTGTCCGTGCTTTACAAAATGGAGGCCTACATTCTGACTTTTCTGGAATCTTCAGCTCACTATTCTCATCACGGCATTCCTTCTCACTGCTGTGTGTGGCGGAAGGTCACTCGTTAGCACTCATGCATGGTATTTCACCATGTAACTAAGCTGCACGTTCTTTGTCCATCCTGCTGTTGATGAACATTTGAGCACCAAACAACTCAGAGTCCTGTCATTTAAGTACAGTTCATGATGGAAAATCTTAGCGGTGAAAGAGCCGGATCTCCAAAGAGTCTGTGGAGGCAGAGAGGCAGGGATGAAACTGAAAGTCTGATCTCAGTGGGGCAGGCCTGGAAGTGAGCGAGTGGCTTTGATCGGCTCTTTTGGACTAGGACATCACAACACACTCTACTTCTGCTACTGACAGGAAGTGTCTCAGAGAGCAGTAAGGCACCCAAGTGTGGGTACTGGCTCTCTTACAAGGGAATCTGGGTGCAAGAGGCTAGTCTATCATGGCACGCCAGTGTGCCTTCTGTCCTGCGGCTGTGCTGGCCAGGCCCAGGGGGGCAGACCTAGTGACAGGCCCTTCAGGATGAACTCTGAACTCCCAATACAGGACTTCTCACAAGAACAAGGCTGCAAGGGTCTAGGCCCAGAGCTGTGGGAGAGTGAGGGATGAGCCTGGCTCCCCCATGCCCTTGTGTGACCTGGAGGTTAACTGTTGGCCATGCTGCCAGGGCAAAGGTTCTCTCCCATGCTTCTGCAGGTGTCTCTTCTGCATTGTTTGGCCCCCAGTACAACCCCAAGTATTGAGCTGGAAGTCTTGAAACCTGTATTTAAGTTCAGTTCTAGCCTCTATATCTAGGAGCCCTGGGAAAGACCATCATCAGTTATACTCCTCTCCTTGAGTTAGATTTCGGTCTTCACAGTAAGTCTACACAAGGTTTCTTACTGATGAGAAGGCCAAGTCAAAGTAATTCCCACATGCCTGGTCTTTCCTATGCTGCTCCACAGATGAGGAAATTGAGGCTCACAGGTTAACTGACCTGTATCCAACATCCCCATGCTGCTCAGAGGAGGAGTGGGGCCTGCGTGTCTGATACACGTGTCTGATACACCTTGGCTGCCTGTCTAAGACCCCCAGGATTGCTGTGCGACACAACTTGTCCTTGGCCTCCACTACTCCAGCACCCTCGGGGGTCAGCTCCCCCTGAGGCTCCTTTGTGAGATTGAATGGAGGCAATGCTGCCAGACCTAAGTGAGGGCTGGACCAGAGCCCGACAACCAACCTCTCCCCTCTTTCTTTTCTTCCCTTCCCTCCCTCCTTTCCTCTTGCCCGGAGACGAAGAAAGATGAAGGCCCGGGAAGGGCCAGGTCCACTGGAAACACAACCAATTAAAGAGGCCCTTGACAATGCCAGAGAGGCTGCAGGTGCACTGCTTGCGGGGAGGATGCCAGGGCCCTGGGTGTCGCCCTGGCAACCATGGCAAGGAGAGCAGAAGGGCATGTTGCCCAGGTGTCTGCTGGGGACAAGGTCAATAGGTAGTGGCAGCTCTAGACTGTCAAACTCTGCTTGTCAGAGAAAGGAGTAGAAGGAAGAAGCGAGCCGCTGGCTAAGGCCAAGCTGAGAAAGACAGGGGAGGCAGAGGTCTTCACTCCACTCTTAAGGTAGGGCCAGCTCACCTGCAGAATGTGATACATGAGTGGCTGCAGGCGACGCCATATGAAAAAAATGAGTGCAGGGCTGGGAGCAGACAGGAGTAGACTCTAGAGGGACAAGATGGCCCTAAAATCAGGACCAAAGTTGGAACAGGATAGAAGCAGCAAGAGGTTGGAGGGCAGTAGGAATATGACGACTGTCCCTGTGTCTCAGACAACCCCGGTTTCAATTTTTCCTTTCTACTGCCCATTGAATGCCACCAATGCCATGAAGAACTCAATTATCTGAACTACATTTCCCAGGATACATTGAACTAGCCCCTCATGGTAGTTAGCTCATATAATCTGGATTTTATTTTGGCAAATGATGGTCACTGTTCTGAACCCACTTGCTGTTCCCTTTCCCCACCACCATGACCTTGTGACACCCCTTTTTCGATTTCTCACAGTTTTCAGGGAACCCTACACCGTCCGGGTGGAGGATCAAAGGTCAATGCGTGGCAATGTGGCCGTCTTTAAGTGCCTCATCCCCTCTTCAGTGCAGGAATATGTTAGTGTTGTGTCCTGGGAGAAAGACACAGTCTCCATCACTCCAGGTAAGGAATCATGGGTGGTGGCTGACAGAGCTGCCCGGGTGGTGGATGGTGTCCGAATTGGTCTATGAACAGAGAAAGACTGTGACAATGGTTTTAGGGACTACTGATTTGTTACTGCTCTGTGGAGTTTTGGCAAACGAGCATCTTTGGTTTCCATCTGATCATCTCTGTGTGGGATGGTCCATGTTTTGAGGCTCGTGCTATCGAGGATGGTCCCACAGACACAGAGTGGGGCTGCTGTTGATTCTGGGGCTCCTCTTGAACTTGCCCTGACTTATGAGAGTCGTTGGTAATCTCACCTGTGAAGGGTATAGGAGAGACAGGGCACATTTGTGCTCTATGTGTGACTAGGGTAATGAGGCCGGATATTTGAGGAACCTGGCCTAAGGAAGTGTGCATACAGGACAGAGTACATGTGTGTTCTATGCGTGACTAGGGTAATGAGGCTGAACATTTGCGGAATCTGGTCTAAGGAAGTGTGCATACAGGACTTCTGCTTTCCATGAGTTGGCTGAAAGACCCGTCGGTGACTGACATTGAAAATGAGCTAGTACTGTGTTGGAGTCTTGGAAACCCCTCATGGATTCATTTTCGCCTGGGAAGGATTGTCCCTCCAACAAGAAACAGATCTTGGAACCTCAGAAAAGGATGTCTAAAATCTTTATTCAACCTTCAAGGATACGATAAAAGCCCCACCCCATCCCTTCATCCCCCACACCACAGGGGCTCCATTTTCCCTCCTCGAGGTTCATCCTTAACTTCCTGGAAAGTGTAGCATCCCGACCAGTGTTCTTCAAGCAGGCTGTTGGCACCCAGGTTCCCAGCCAGTTGTCTGGAATGACCCGCAGCCTTCAGAGTGAGTAGAGGATGAGAAGCCTCTATAGCAACCTGTCATAGAGCAGGATTCTTCATCTTGCTGAGCCCCCTCCACCTTGAGGTGTGAGCAGCACCTTTGAAATAGTTGTGTTCCGGTTAGCTAAATTCAGATCACTCGGGAGCCAGCCTGGGTCTCAGCACTGACCAGAGCTCTTTAGATGTCTCTAGGATACAGTGGGGTGAGACCTATGCTGACATGTTTGCAGTTAGCATGACAGGTACTTTAAAAAAAAAAGACATAAACGTGTGTCTTGTTCTCACGACTTTCCTTCTCTCAGTTCCAAGCAGACTGCCAGGCCAAAAGATCTCTCAGTAGCAGACAGGTTAGCAGCCTGGTGTGAGCAAGGCAGACTCCATGCTACTTACAGATTCCTTCTCTCTTTTTTGGAAAAATGTGAGTTAATGGGAGCCGCCTGGAAGGAGAGCGTCTGAGAGAAAGGGATAAAGGAAAGAGAAGGAATCCGGGGCTGGCAATGGTACTGCGGGCGTCTATGGAAAGTGCTTGGACTTCAGGGGAGCATCTGTGGGAGCCCTTCAAGGCCACGACTGAGGTCCCAGACGAGACATGGCAGACACAGTCAAAGACCCAAAGACGTCATTCAAGTAGGGAGCACAGGTTAGCAGATGCTGCACATCTCTGAGGAAGCTTCGGAAACAATGGACACGGGGGTTCCTGTATTTCTAGAAAAGTCAGGTTTAAGGCATTTAAAGACCAATAGGAAATGTACTACTTCTTACACACTTGGGTTTATGGATGAAGCATTGTGTCCATTAAAATAATAATTATGTTATTAAAACTTTTTGAGTAATCGCTATTTTTCTGACACCAGGCTAAGACACCTTAATTCATCATATTTTAGCCTTGCACAAAGCCCGGAAGTGTGTTTTCCTCTTTCCACTTACAGAAGAGAAAACCTAGTCTCAAAGAAGGAACTCAGTTTCTTCCAGGTCACGTGCTGATTACTCAGATGAGGCTTAAACCGAAGCAGGATTTTCCCCAGGCTCGTGCTTCCCCTGTGTGCACACAAATGTGCCCAGTTTCTCTGATGACCATGAATCCTTAACAGTGCACTATAGGCAATGAGAGCTTTGGGGAAAATATTGTATGTTGATTCTTAAAGGGATGGGTTGATGGAACCAAAAGCAGGGGATGATAACAAACCTAAAATCTGGGACCAGATTGCCTGGGATGGAAGCTTGCCCCATGGCTACTAGCTGGGTGAATTGTCATTCATAGGGCTTGACTTCTTGCAACTATAGAATGGGTTTATAGAGTTGGAATAAAAATATACAGTGTTTAGAATGTTGCCTGCCATTCTGAGGATAGGCTGAGTTGTAGCTGCCATTGTTTAGGTACAAGACAGAGCCCTTCAATGTTTGCACTGGTCCCTGGTGGGGAGTGTGTGTTCTTACTGTGTAGCTGACCTTGTATCTCATTCCCAACTGGCTTTCCTAGGAATGAGAAGAGTGTTGCGTTTACGCGTGTATCCTCCACTCCTACCACACTGAGCCCTCTGTACTCACGACAGTAAGGGCTCATTCAGTGTCCAGTGAAGAAGGAATGGCTGCTTGAGAGTTCCGAGGGATTCTGGGAGGCAGTCTGGACAGATGGGGACATGAGGACAAGCTGGTGCGTACCAGGTAGCCAGAGCAGAGCAGGTGGGGAAGGAAGGTTAACTAGCTTGTGTACCCAGGAGTTGGAGGCGGCAAGCTCCCCCAGGCATCCCTTGTAGTTGGTTCTTCAGAGCTGCCTTTGATGTCAAGACCAGGCTGGTAGCCCCAAAGGGCATAATTACCAGAGAAGTGGCCTTGATGTTAATCTGTGGGACCGTGTTAAATTTTGGTAGACTGCCTTTCTTTTCTTTGGTCTTGGAAAATTTTCCTCTTCTGCCTACCCTTCCAGCTCCAGCCATAGTCATTCTAGATCCTTCTCTAACTATTTGTTAGATCGAGGGACAGTCTTCCCAATACATTGAGTCTAACTAATATGTCCCTGAGGGAAATCCAGGGGAGTGGGAGACAGTGGGGCTGGGCAGCATCCGGTCTCTGTAGAAGAGGACCAGAGATTGGGGACACATGCCACATGTTTTAACTTTGGAAAATGTAAGTAGTTTATAAAATTTTAAGAAATAGGGCTTTTATACCCCCCATGTTCTCACATGCCCAGTGTGCATACATTCTGTACGTTTAGGTACGTGTTTTGTGATAGCAGGATGCCACTTCTTAGCATGGCGGAGGTGATAATCTGGTCTGAACGTGGAGAATGGAAGCCGCAGTGTTAGCATCTGGAGCAGGGATCCTGTGTTAACTGCGGTTTCTGGATCCATGGGGCTAGTCTCTAATGTTCTACACTTCAGGGCCTGCAGGAACAGGTGCTGGAAAGCCGAAGGAAAACCGGGACGCCGGAGTGGACCAGTTGAGGTCTCAGAAAGCATCCTCCTTAGGAAAAGCATGCGTGTACCCTGGGAAGAAGGGCCTGCTGGCCACAGAAAGGGAGCAAGGCCTCCTGTGCCTCTTTCTAAAGGAACCTGGTATTTAAACAAGCTCTGGGAGCTGAGTATTTGCTCAGAGGCTGCCCTTCTGGGCTGGTCATGCTGTCTTGGAGCCGGCCACCGAAGCCCTATCCAGCTTTTTGTTATGATTTCTCAGAACTGGGAGAAGCTAGAAAGACAACCCAGACAACTATTGCTCCCATCTCTGATGCCTCCCCAGCCTCTCCTCCCTTCAACTGTGTGTTGGTTTTCAATCTTCTAAAAGTGTAAAATCTTTGACCTGCCAGACTCCTACCCCAACGTTCCTCCTAGAGTACTGTGTGTGTGTGTGTATGTGTGTGTGTGTGTGTGTGTGTGTGTGTGTAGAAAGATAAAACCATTTCTTCAGAATAGGCAGGGTAGGCATAGAGGACTAAGAGCGGTATACAAACAGGTTAGAATTAAGGCCTTCAGTGAAGCCAAGATGTGGTTTAATTTCCCATCTGCATGATCACCATTACAATGCATGTTATTGGATATAAAGATAAATCCGGCTCTGTTCCTAATAGCTTTTAATTTCCACCAGACCTGATTATATCGATGCAGGCTCCTTGTGGGAGTTTCCCAGCATGCTCTTCCCCAGCATCCTGACTGGCTTTCTTAGCCCCAGTGGGGAGTTTTGGACACAGCTCAGATGCCAGCCAGATGTATCCCCTGCTGCCCTGGAAGATGAGCCTGGCTGAGCTGCCTTGTTAGTGTGGATTGGGGCTCTTGGATGCTAGGCTGCCACTGGGCCTTGGTCCAGCATGGGGGTGTATCAGGGACTCTGCATCTTGGGGGAGGGGACAAACAGGGACAAAGGGAATCTGTTTGGCAGGGGATCTCTCTGAAAAAGCCCTTGCTTTAAGGATTCTCATCAGACAGTGCCTTGCCCTGGTACCCACCTTACCAGACTTCTGAACCTCTCTAGTGACTGGTCCCAGACTAGAGGGTCTCAAGGTTTTCCATGGACTTCCCCATCTCTCTCCATTTGTCTCTGATGTTGTCCTGGCCTGACTTATCTACCCATGTCTTCTTCCTATCACGACCCTAGTCATCCTTTCTCCTGGGACTTGGTGCCCATGTGTCCCTTTCCATGAGCCTATACCACAAGCCTGACGCAGATGTTATGGATCCTTTGGCTCTGTTCCCATTATTTCTAACCGTCTGCGCAGGAGGGTGTGCGGTTTTCTTTTCCCATCATTTTTTCCCCGGGACCAGCGTAACACTGCAACAGAATGATTAAAAATAACAAGATTAAGGGTGATGCCCATCATGTATGGAGCCCTCTTTTTGGGTTAGGCATTCCATGTATTCGATCGCTAATCCTCACAATCACATTTTAAGACAAATCATGCCCTTTCCCCCCATTTATAAATGACAATATAGAGGCCCATGGAAGTTAAGCATCTTCCTCGTGGCCATACAGATGATTGGGGAAGGGGTGTTTTATGGTATATTCTGCTTCCTGCTGATTTTCTAGAGCAGGTTCCCCAGAAGAAGTTTTCTATGTTGTTCTTGGACTTCAGTCCAGAAGGGAGAGCCTGTCCCCGACTCCTAAACTTGCCTGGGAACAGAAACATGTCACTAACTACCCAGCTCTGACTGTGTGTG